ACTGCTTTTGTGCTCCAGGGTCACACATGTGTAATTCAGTTACTAACTACAACTGTCATCATGTAATCAGTAACACTCTACAGTCCGTAAGTAATCTACCCAGCACCGCATACAAAGCAACTCGCTATTCCTCACTAAGACATGCGTTTGTGTGTTTTACAGGAAAATATCATTCGAGAGTTCAACCTAAATGAGATGTTCCAGAGATATAAGAAATGTAGCAAAGGAGAGAAGCCTGAGGAACCGAAGACACTCCTGCAGGAGGCTCCTGAAGAAGAGCAGCCACATGAGGAGGAGGAGGAGGAACCAGAGAGCAAGAAAGACAAATAAGACACAGAACGGAAAGGCATTCAGCATTTATGACTATCCTGAACCCACACCGAATAGTGCAACACATCATCTACACAAATGCCTCGCATGTGGAAACTTTTCCTCTTAACTTTAATCTTTCATTTTAGTTGTCAGTCGACACACAAACAGCTGTGTCTGCTTTCATATTCTGGCCGCTGGCTTTTCATAATAAATGCATTCAGTGCGTCTTAAAGTTTAATCATTTTAAACTGCATTATTCTTTTAAGCCGAGGGGGTCTGTGGTGGTGCTGCAGGGGGGTTGCCAATTACTGTTTGATCTCAAAATATTAGGCTTTAAATGAAAACACGCAACATTAAGTTGACTTCCCCTAAAGATAATAAGCTAAATGTTTCACTGTCCCTGATTACGGCATGCCAGCATCATAATAAAGTATGTAAATGCATATGGATTACATTTTATTATAGGCCAAGTTTAAAATGCGGACAGGACATCTCCGATCGCTCTTATAATCCAGCAAGGAGTCGTTAGCCTCGAGTCTTTTATGCTTTATTTTATGCATGGTGACCCGTGTTGCATTTGCACTTGAGGTTCAAAACTGAGTAATTTGTGTTTGTTCGAGCATTAGCTATTAAAATGACACATTCTTCCAAAAATGAACTTTTTTGTCATCTGAGGTTGTTATCCAGAGAACCTACTAAAATATGGTCACTGTTATGTCGGCAATGCATAGAGACCTGGATGAATACTGTGTGATTAACTGAGAGTCTGTTTCAAAAGTAGGTGGAAAATTAATAAAGCAATAATCCCCGTGAAGCCGTGGTTTACAGTGAATTTATAACAGCTAAGGGGCGTAAGCGGAGTGCCTAAAACCCCCTTAGCTGTTATAAATTCACTGTAAACCACGGCTTCACGGGGCTTATTGCTTTTATAAAACGGTTATTCCATATACGTAGTAAGGTTTCACAAAATAAAACTGAGCAAATAAAGTGTAATGATATTAATAAAAACAGTATTCTTCCACCAAACAATGTAGTTCCTCAGAATCAGTTGTGGTTGCAACAAAGTGGTTGCCGAGCAACACACAAACGTAAACAAAGGTGTATGTTACTTTGTAGAGTAATTTACAACAGCTTCGAACGTGGCTCAGCCAATCAGAATCAAGGACCGGAACTCTCCGTTTTATAAATAAAATATTTACTCTGGTCCTTCCCAGGTGTTTTTGTGGATACAGACTTTCGATCAAATGTAGTAGCATCTTCAATGTCTTGCAGGTTTGTAGAGGAGACTATGAAGCTTGAGAAAACATGCTCGGAAGTGAGCAGGAAGCTGGAAACATGCGAGTTACAGAATTTATATATTATATTATTTTTGCTCACATCAACTTTCGGCTAAATTAAATCAAGAGTTGGAATCCGTGTCAAGCACGACACCAGTACAGACTCGACTCGGAGCATGATATTGAAAGCTGCTGCTTTTTCCCACAGCACTGGAAGCTCAGAAAACGCATTTGAGAGATGCACAAAGCACAACACATGTTAACCAGGTATGACTTTATACACATGTATGTATGATGTGTTGCAATACTGAACTTTGTGCATAAAGTTTTACTATGAAAATGTATACCGAAAATACTATAAAATGTACTGTTCAATGGCCAACTCCACACACAATCATCATGACCGTTCTTGAAATTGTACTGAAATGTCTCGTAAATGAAAAAAAAAGTTCAGTTCAGTCTGATTTTGAGGGATCCACGTCACCCTACGGTTTCTTTGATGGCAACAGCAGGCGTCGGTCCTATATGAGTCCAGATGTAGCCTTTTTCTGGACGAACTGGTAATGTTGGGAAAGGGCAGCTTCTTGATTTGAAATACTCTGATGGGGCGTGACAGACAAACTCCAGGAACTCCATTCTTCTTGGCAAGTCCTCCTCAGGGCCTACGCAGAGAAACTGCAGTTGTTACAAAAAGGAAGCTTAAAAACTTCTTAAACATGCGTCAAATTAGTGTACATGGCTAGTGTAACATGACACCCTGGTACAGCATATGTGTCAGCAATAGGGGTGTGCGATATTGAAAAAATCTATTTTTAAAAAAATATTTGTTTTGATTTTTTTTTTTTTCAAAAAACTAAAACCGCCAGTAGGTGGCAGCAAGTCCCTTAATGAGTGATTCATTGAATCATTCACTCAAACAATTTGTTCAAAGTTCATTTACAAGTAGGGGTGTGGTGTGATATATATCATCTGCGATAATATCGTAATTGTTGTTTTAATGATGTGCGATTTGACATTATCGAGTATTTTGCAAAAACCATTCAAAACACCCCTACAGAGCGCACGCGTACATTACGTGAAGTCTAGACTAGTGCGTGTGCGCATTTAGAGTGCGTTCTTTCACCGCATGATTGCGCACGCATACATTACGTGAAGTCTAGACTAGTGCGTGTGCGCATTTAGAGTGCGTTCTTTCACTGCATGATTCGGTCTATTACAATGCATTTACAATGATCACAAATTCAAGACATGATGGCAGAAAATGTATATATTTATACCATTTCATATAGTTATTAATCAATTTCACACGAAGAGTGCCATTTTTCTCCAAATATTACCATGATTACAGATGTGACATTGATTTTTTTACAACAGTTCAATAAACAAGAAGTTAATTAAGAGACTAGACACCATATTGCCCGTTTTCGACAACAAAAGTAATTCCAAACGCAGCCACAGCGCTGTTTTGCGTCTGTGTGTTTCGTTGTTAAGTAACACCATGACAAGTGAGCTATTTTGCTGAATATTCTCACGACGCAAAAAAAACATTCAAAACACCTAACGTACAGAGTGTACGCATTACGTGAAGTCTAGTGCGTGTGCGCATTTACAGTGTGCTCTTTCACGGCATGATTAAGTCTATTAAAATACATTGAGAATGATCACAAATTCAACATGATGGCAGAAAATGTATATATTTATACCATTTCATATAGTTAATAATCAATTTCACACGAAGAGTGCCGTTTTTCTCCAAATATTACCATGATTACAGATGTGACATTGATTTTTTTACAACAGTTCAATAACCAAGAAGTTAATTAAGAGACTTACGTTTTAGACACCATATTGCGCGTTTTCGACAACAAAAGTAATTCCAAACGCAGCCACAGCGCTGTTTTGCGTCTGTGTGTTTCGTTCCTGAATGAATCACTCGTTTAAATGATTCGGTTCAATCGCAATGACTCACTTATTAACAGTGACTTGCTGCCACCTGCTGGCGGTTTTAATTTCACATTCAGAGTATCTTTTATTATTTAAATAATTTCAAATATCAGTATTCAACGTTTTATGTTTAATATATCAAAACGTTATTTATGCATTTGTAATTGCAGGTTAAATGCATTCATGTCTTGCATTAAACAGTGTGTAAATGCATCTAAATGCCACTTCAGCTGCAGCTTCTGTGTTGATTTAATTTGCTTGGTAACAGCCCAAATGTCTTATTACTCTAATTCACTAATTAAATGTAAGAATTTCACTCAAAAGATAATGCACACTTTTAGAAAAAATGGCTTTGTAAAGGTAAAAATGCCCATAAAATGTAAAAAGTTTAAACTTATTGGAAAATATTAATTTCTATCAGTATGAACTGACCAGCACACAGAATATGAAGAATATTAAAAACTTTAGGAGTCAGCTGTCCACGGCAGTGCTTAAGGTACCAGCACAATAACACACTCAGCAAAATATCGTCTAATTATCGTTATCGATAAAATCCCAGAAAATATCGAGATATAATTTTTTGTCAATATCGCACACCCCTATTTATATGTAAAGAAAATGGCTGTTTTTATGAATGGCTCATTGAATCACTGACTAAAATTATTCGTTCAAAACAGATTCATTCAGAAATAAAGACGCACAGATGTTCTGCTCCAGCTTTGATTGTTATTATTTTCATTGACGAAATAGAAAAAAACACTATATTATGCGTAAAATGTAGCTCACTCAATATTATCTTATTATTTTTTGAATTGTTATATAATTTTAATATCACACTTGCAATCCCACGCGCTAATATTCAGGAAAACGCCACTCTTGCTTGTGTGCTATTACTTAACTATATCATATCTTATAAATATACAAACAAAAACCCATACAGAGATATTTTTTTGCTTTCATAACTTGAATTATAGGGTGATTTTAACTGCATTCTAATAGGCTTCATCACACAGTCAATGCTTTTGGACTCTCAAGACGTGTTTTTGTTTGTTTTTTGCAAAGTGAGTGACACACTCGATAATATCAGCTCACATACTGTTAAAACAATTACGGTATTATCATAGATATTGCACACCCCTAGTCAGCAAGGAACAAAAACACAGTATTTCTGCATGAACTTACCTACAATGTATGTGCCAGGATCAAAGCGATCTCGAGGACTGGCCTGAGTCGGGATCAGCCAAGTTAACGCCGCGCTTTTCTCACAGTACTGGTCCTGGACGAAACCACGAATCTGTGCGTAATACGGTTTACCGTCGTCCTCGTCTGTTACTTTAATGACATCTCCTGTTTGATAATAGACGCCCTGAACACAAGACGTGTAGTTTAGTGAATAGAAACAGGCAGAAAAACTGTTTAAACAAGCATTTTGAACAGTAGAAAGGAGTGATGATTACCTTGTAAAACATGGACTCTGATGTGATAATCGTTGACACAGACTCTGGTGCTTTGATAGGCTGTGCAAATTTAAAGAAGGTAAAATAAATGCCATTGCATTTTATTACCACAGTTCACCGAAAAATGAAAATTTGCTTAAAATGTACTCATCCTCAGGCCATCCGAAATTAGGATGGGTTTGTTTCTTCATCCGGTTTGGAGAAATGTAGCATTGCATCAGTGTCTCAGCAATGGATGCTCTGCAGTGAATGGGTGCCGTCAGAATGAGAGTTTATCAGCTGTTTGGACTCTCATTCTGACGGCACCCATTCACTGCAGAGCATCCATTGCTGAGACACTGATGCAATGCTACATTTCTCCAAATCTGATGAAGAAACAAACTCATCCTAATCTTGGGATGGCCTGAGAGTGAGCACATTTTCATTCCTTTAACCCACATAGACATTAGAGGAAGAAAACACTCATAAACGACCCTGAATGAAAAGCACTTACATTTTTCAATTTGAAAATGTGTCGTCTACCCTTTCCTTTGGTCGAGACTTTCTTCTCAGATGCTGGAGCTTTGTACTTGGTGCTCCGTAACCGAGCGGAGCGTCTGTGGATTTCATGTTTGGACTATAAAATAAAGAGGGTAGTATCACTGGTTTTGTTTAGAAACGTTATTTTTAAGCTGTGTATAACGATTTAAATGTAAGTACATAGTTGTTAAGGCCACTTAACATAAAGTGGGTCCACGTTATGTAAAGTAAACATATCTTAATCTGTAAGATAGCATTTAAGAGAAGAGAGAAAAATATATGATATATACATATATTTTTGTATATATACATACATACATATATATATATTATCACAAAAACAAACATACATATAAACAACTAAACAATAGTTCAAATTATCTTCATTAGAACAAAATCAAGGACTACAGTGGGGGAACTATAAAAGAAAAAAATTAAGTAAACATAATATGATAGTAATCGCTTGACAATTATGACGTCAACATGGCGGCGCTCAAATGTGGGCGACCCGCTCCATGTGAGAAGACTGTTACGCATGTACATCATTTCCGGGTTTTTTTTGTTCCCTCAAAATGACGTTTCTATATATAAAATGTTTCTAAATTCTATATCCGTAAAATATCTTAAGCAAAAAAAATACGGAACTATGGAGCTGCACTATGGAGCGGTGTCGTGTGCTTTCAGTAAAGAATAATTTTGACCGCAAATTTTAGTATTCTAATGCGTTGTGTCGCTATTAGACTAAATGAGAAGTTACACAAATCCCACGCTACAAAGTAAGTTTTTAAGCAAGTCTTCAAACCTGTTTCCCTCCGCCGTTATTCTGCTGGATGCTGGATGAAGCAGATGCTCCGGAGCTCCCGCTGCTTATGCTTTTACTCGCGCAGTTGTTACACAAAATCTCCCCCTGGCTGCCCTTTTTCCACATGGAAGAAGAGTTGGTCTTGCAGACAGCACAGCATGGTTTTAAACCAAGAGGCATGTTTGCTGACCACACGCAGTAATGTTTCGCTAAAGGGTCTTGTATAGTTATTTCTGAATTAAACAGTCGGGTTTTTCCTGTAAGCATGCAAGCCAAAAACTGCAAGTAATGCCGATCTAGAAGAAATATGACCTATCTCAAACACATATCTTTCATTTAGAAAACAATGAATGATAGGTCCCGTATGTTTTACCATTGGGGGGAAAAAACAACATCCGGGAGAAGAGTTTGTGAATTTTAGAATAAATGTCCTGATCCTTACTTTCACAATAAAAGTCTAAGAAAATCTGTCTATGAAAAAGACTTCACTGGAGGGCGCTGTTTAATATCTTTACATTTTAAGAAAGAAAGTATGTTGCATTAATTTTTAATCCGAGCAAATAAATATCTATCTATCTATCTATCTATCTATCTATCTATCTATCTATCTATCTGTCTGTCTGTCTGTCTGTCCGTCTATCTATCTATCTATCTATCTATCTATCTATCTATCTATATACTACATACAAATCAATTTAAATATAAAGTACCACCACCATAAATACTTAAGTAAAAAAAACACACAAAAAAAAACACACACACAACGTTCAGACTAAGATGTAAAAACTGGTCATTACTTACAACACAAGATGATTTAATCAAAACAAAACTGGTGATCACTTTCAATTTAAAATGATTACTGAAAAAAAGCCAAACTATAAAATGACTATATTCACCAACTCTACATCATTTATTCTTTCTTTCCCCTTATATAATACTGTCAACATGAACCAAAAACTATCCAATCTGAAGAATGAAACATACTTTTTAGCATTTGAATATAGAAATTGTATTTTTAGCTATTCATGAATATGTAAGGTTGAAAAGCTGCGATATTATAACTTTAAAACGGTTGCTTCGGGTCAAATCCATAATAAGTCCATAATCCATAACAAGGTTTCTTCCGGTGGAAAAAGTCCATCTCCTGTTGTCTCTCACATCAAAATCAACCCACATGTTTGTTTAGAGCTGTTTTAGACTGCTCTGGCTTTCTAAAGTTTGTTTAAAACTTGAGAATTACTTAAAAGTGAAATACTGTGATGTTTTTATCAGCTGTTTGGACTCTCATTCTAACGGCACCCATTCACTGCAGAGCATCCATTGCTGAGACACTGATGTTCAGATGAAGAAAATTGTCATCAAATTTTTAGGTGAACTATTCCTTTAAATGTGGCATGAAAAGAATATTATTGTTTTTAAATGAAGCAACACATTGGCATTGCTAAATAAGAGGGCTGTGGCTTCACGGTAACTGTAAGAAACACTGATGCATTCACAAATGCATATATTTTCTTCACTCAGATATACGTCACAAGAAAAGATCTGTCGCTATTTCCATTTCATTGCGACTTCAATAATATGCAACAATCAATTACAACCATCGGTGTTCTTATGTGGACAGAAAAGGTCCTCACACAAAATGTCCATACACTCTAAAAAATGCTGGGTTAAATATAACCCAGCGCTGGGATAAAAAGGGACAAACCCAGCTGTTGGGTTGTTTTGACCCAGCTGTTGGGTTGTTTTGACCCAGCGGTTGGGTTGTTTTGACCCAGCGGTTGGGTTGTTTTGAACCCAGCGGTTGGGTTGTTTTGACCTAGCTGTTGGTTTGTTTGGACCCAGCGGTTGGGTTGTTTTGAACCCAACCGCTGGGTCAAAACAACCCAATAGCTGGGTTTGTCCCTTTTTAACCCAGCGCTGGGTTATATTTAACCCAGCATTTTTTAGAGTGTAAGATTCACAACAGAAATGCACATCAGTTTGCTCTTACTATCTTTCCAATGTTAATAAATCCAGAATATTTACATAAGCATACCTAAAGTTACCAGTTACCAAAATGAGTATGGCTTTTCGCACACAATAAAGACCTTTAGTATACGGGCCAATATGTGGCATTCTCTCTCTTTCTGTTGCTCCTGTTTGCTTGTGAGGCCTGGAGAGAAGGGTCTGGATAAGTGCGCTCCAAAACTGTAGCATCATGGCAGCTTGGCAGACTGTGTGTTGGCACGGCCGAGGATACAGAGACAGATTGAGGCTGACACAGCAGACCTTCACTTGGCGAATGGCTGGCACTGCCTGCTGTGCGGATCAGAGCGCGCCTCTGTCACACTCCACTCAGGAGGGCTGTCAGCCTTTTGCACTCCTTTGGAAAACAAAAAAAGGAGTGCTGTTAGACTTCTATTCCGGCTGCAGGATGGTAACAACAGCTGAGGAAAATGTTTGGAAATCCTTCACAGTGTGATGCTGTATTCTAAATGTCATCTAGGAGACTCAAGTGCAGCAGAAAGACATGGGCATGTATGATGTACATTTGGACATAGAGTGTGCAAAATATTCATAGAGCTGCTGCAAAAAATTCATGAGATGGTTATTTTTGAAAGAGGTCTCTTCTGCTCACCAAGGCTGCATTTATTTGATCAAAAATACGGTAAAAACTTTAATATTGTGAAATATTATTACAATCCAAAATAACTGTTTTCTATGTGAATATCTGTTAAACTGTAATTTATTTCTGTGAACAAATCTGAATTTTCAGCGTCATTACTCCAGTCTTCAGTGTCACGTGATCTTCAGAAATCATTCTAATATGCTGCTCAAGAAACATTTCTGATTATCCTCAATGTTGAAAACAGTGGTGCTGCACAGTATTTTTTTGTTCCCCCCATGATTATAGAAAGTTCAAAGAACAGCATTAATTTGAAATAGTAATCTTTTGTAGCATAGTTTTTACTTTTGATCTGAGAGACATGACATTTTCTAATATACTGTACTTCTCTAATATTTTTCTTCTCGTAACACTGTGGAAATCATAATTTAAAAAGACATGCGTTGCCATTGGACGATGGATAGGAAATATTAGGATGCTATATTATAAATAACACATTAGGAAATAACCTATCCAAAGAGTAGCTATTGATGTTGATATTCATCAGTTATAGAGCTTTTTATTCATTTAGTTCATTCTGTTTTCTGTTTCACTGAATGTGTAAGTGGAAGGTGTAAACTGGCTGCTTATATGCATTGTGCTTAAAACACCCTTAAAATTAGGCAACTGAAAGACTCCTGTCTTGTATCAGGGCTTCAGGTTTACCTGCTTGGCTTCCCTCACTATGTGCGCGGTCAGGTGCCATCAACTCAGCCATGTTTACGTCAAGCATTTTCAGTTCAGTCGTGGCCTGGAGTCTTAATGTCAGCTTGCCAAGCTTTCCGGCAAAATAAAGTGCTACAGATGAATCTCAATAATGAGCCATGTGCTCTAAACAGCAGGATTCTTGTATGGTCTCCTGTTCAAGCTGTGACTGTGAGTACGCTTGCTTTGCCACCCAAACAAGGCAACAGGGGGCTTAAAGTGCGCTGCCCCATTTTATAATAGAGGATTATTTAAATATCTGAATATGGAAATAATTAAGCATTCTCAAATCAGCCCTGCATCCGTTTGACATATTGATCAGCCATGGTCTGCAGGAGCCACGTGCAGCATACAGTAGCATCCTTAATTAGCAGCTACAATTATGGCAGCTTATGCATGCACATATATGAGGAATATGTATTTATACATTTGATGGCCTCCCATGCTGTTTTCCAGCACAGCCCATTAACTGAGGTAAGCTAGACCTACTTCATACCCCTCAAGCTCGCCGAAGCTCAGTTTTGTAACTAGGCACTGGGTTAAAAGGATCCCGAGGGAAAGCTTGTGAAAATCAGGTCTATAACCCTTGGCTCTGGGGGGGATCTCGCTTTTTGGACCATCTTGGAATAAATTGAGCATCAAAGCTGTCAGATTGTCATGCAGCTGTGAAAGAGGCAGCAGGATTATCCATGTTTATAGCAAATGCTAAAAAGGATCTCAGCATGCTTGTAAGACGCATATAAATGCTCTTTGCATTGAAAATGTCGAGTGCTTTTGGTGTGAAGGTTTTTGCAGTTACGTTTATATGTTTGGCGCCATCTGTTGGTACTGAAACATTAAGCCATCAAAAATAGTACATTTGTTTTATAATATCAACACAGACATTACTTCTTCATTCCGACTATTGCAAGCATCTTATAAATATTTCACAGTTTCCTTTCTTTTTTTCTCTTTTTTTTTCATCCTGCTTATCTTTACAGACTATGTCTGTGAATCTGGAGCATAAATGTTGACTGTGCTCAAACAATTTGTGTTTCTGTTCTTATCTATTTCTTTATATGATTGTTTGCTTGGGCCTCCCATGCTGTTTTCCTGCACAGCCCATTAACTGAGGTAAGCTAGACCTACTTCATACCCCTCAAGCTCGCCGAAGCTCAGTTTTGTAACTAGGCACTGGGTTAAAAGGATCCCGAGGGAAAGCTTGTGAAAATCAGGTCTATAACCCTTGGCTCTGGGGGGGATCTCGCTTTTTGGACCATCTTGGAATAAATTGAGCATCAAAGCTGTCAGATTGTCATGCAGCTGTGAAAGAGGCAGCAGGATTATCCATGTTTATAGCAAATGCTAAAAAGGATCTCAGCATGCTTGTAAGACGCATATAAATGCTCTTTGCATTGAAAATGTCGAGTGCTTTGCTTTTGGTGTGAAGGTTTTTGCAGTTAAGTTGATATGTTTGGCGCCATCTGTTGGTACAAGCCATCAAAAATAGTACATTTGTTTTATAATATCAACACAGACATTACTTCTTCATTCCGACTTTTGCAAACATCTTATAAACATTTCACAGTTTCCTTTCTTCTTTTTTTTCTCTTTTTTTTCATCCTGCTTATCTTTTCAGACTATGTCTGTGAATCTGGAGCATAAATGTTGACTGTGCTCAAACAATTTGTGTTTCTGTTCTTATCTATTTCTTTATATGATTGTTTGCTTGACCATGAGAGTCATTGCCACAGTGCATATGTATTATATTCAGATGTTTTGTTGTTTTAGCCAAATGTTGGAACCTTTAGAAGATTCTAAGCACAATAGGATCAGAACGAGTTATTACAGTATTGCTCTCGTTTTGTTTTTAAATTATTCTGTAATGTTCAATTACATAATTGAACACTACAGAATAATATTATATTATATAGATAGACAAATACATGGATTAAATAGATTTAAACAGCTAAGATTTCGCTTTTTCTTTCATTTTATATTAGATTATATGTGTCCTTTGTGCCTTCAATCCATTTTTTTGCTGGTTCTCAGGAGGATATCATACTATTATATTGTATTGTAGCCTATTGCATTGTATTATATTATATTATTATGTGTATTATTTTTTCCTTTGTGCCTTCAATCCTCACTCTGCATGCTCCATAGCCACAGTAAGCAGTTAAACCAGATGACTTGATTCAGATTCATTGGCACAAGACAAAACAACGTAATTCTGTCTTTTTCCATTAACTGAATGTTTACTGCTTCAATTAATAAGTGTTTGTTTATGTAGCCTATGCATGCAGGTATGTATGTATGCATGCATGCATATATGTTTGTGAGGTTAACTGATACTATTGTGTTTGTGTTGTTGCTGTTTTTGAATTAACACATTGGGTTTTGATCACAGGTTGTTGTACCATTTAGTTATAATAATATCATATCATATGTAACATTCAAACGTTTCAAAGCAGTTATGGTGGCGATTTAATACTTTTAAAGTTTGTTTTTTAGCTTGTTTCACAGGAGTGCGCTGAATATCTAACTTGCTGGATTTCACTGCACTGCCAAGCACGTAAACCCCGCCTCTCCCCGGCGTGTGGGGGCGTGGTCAACGCCTACAGACAAACCCGAACCAATAGGCATTCAGAAAGACGGAGCTCTGTGTGAGCACTGCCCAATAAGGTGATCCTATGTTATGGATATGGACTTTCTCCGAGTATAAAGCATGCAAGCAGCCTGCGCGTCACAGTGACGCCGAGGGTTGGGGTGTGCTGGGCGTAGAAGTTATATTGCTTTAAACTTACATGCTTGGAACTTTCTTTTTAATAACTTTATTTTGCATTTTATTTCACAAACTCACAGATTCGTCTTTTTAGTTTTTAAGAACACCGTGAAATCTACGAAAGGTGAGCAGTTCTTTGACGTATTGTTGTTATTTCAGTTTTTTTTTATGTAAAGGCGCAGTATAACTTACTTTTTACGTTACGGTGTGGTTTTCCAGGCTCTAGATGTTTCTTTTAATCTGATAGTCGATGAAAAATCGTTTAAATGTTCTCCACCGCCGTGAAACAACACAAGACTCGATACGTTAGAACGCTAAACGTAAAATAAATGGCTTGGAAATTAGATTTAAAGTATAAAAGAGTGAATATATGGAGTTAAAGTTGTTATTTAGAGAAGACTGACATAAAACCAAATGGTTTATGGTTTTAACGGGGCAGAAATCTGGTTAGTGGACATGCCCAGACATGTATTAGACCTCAGGGTTGTAACGTTACAATATGGACACTTGTTTTAACGTCCCTTAACGTTACATGGTTACCGTGATAACATAGGCTATCTCTACAAGTAAAACAACAATTACGATATTATCGCAGACGATATATATCGCACACCCCTAATTCAGACGTGTATTATGATTACATTAACTCCGTTACTTTAATCGCCGTTACTTTATCGTACTGGTAGCGCAGAGTTTGCATTTCACGGTATATTGTTGTGTGTGTGTATATGCAAAACACATAATGGAAGCTTTCAACAGCATGTTACATTTGCACATGGCTGAAATAATTATCCACGATATCTTTAATGGTGTTTTAGTTGATTATTTTGTTATTTTAGATGATTGAGCAGGTGACCGGAGCAGGTGTTTTGCCCTTTACCGTCCAGCTCAAAGCTCTTCTGGACCAAGAAGCCAGATATCAGCCCAAACTCTGTGGTCTCCGAATCATCGAGTCCGCTCCGGAGAACGGTCTGAGAATGACGGTCAAGCTGAGAGACTTTCAAGTCCAAGACCTTCTCTCCTTGACGCAGTTCTTCGGCTTCAGTTTGGAGACGTTCTCCCTCACTGTGAGTCTTCTAAACCGGTTCTTGGCTGTGATGAAGGTGCGTTTAAATATTCAGTCCTCAGCCTTCTCGGTATGAATCACGGGTGTTTTCTGAGTAGGTTTCTGTTGAATGCCGTTTCTCTAATTTTTAGATTCAGCCCAAGCATCTGGCCTGTGTGGGTCTCTGCTGCTTCTACATTGCCGTGAAGACATCCGAAGAGGAGAAGAGCGTTCCTTTGGCCAGTGACCTCCTCCGGATCAGCCAGAACCGCTTTACGGTCCACGACATGATGAGGATGGAGAAGATCATTCTGGAGAAGCTCTACTGGAAGGTCAAGGCTCCGACCGCCCTTCACTTCCTCAGATTCTTTCACGCTCTCATTCAAGAGCAGCTGGACGCAGAAAGGTGAGCAGCTGGACTCTATTCAAATGTTTGGAGTTGGTCAGATTTTAATGTCTCTCGTGTTCACCAAGGCTGCATTAATTTGATCAAAAACACAGTAAAATGTTATAATATTTTTACAATTAAAAAAAAATGTTTACTATGTGAATATATATTCAAATGTAATTTATTTCTGTGATCAAAGCTGAATTTTCAGCAGACTTCAGAGTCACATGATCCTTCTAATGTGCCGATTTGCTGCTCAAGAAACGTTTCTGATTATCATCAATGTTGAAAACGGCTGTGCTGCTTATTTTTTCATATTTTTGTGGAAACTCTTTATTTTTCAGGATTCTCTGATGAATAGAAAGTTCCATAGAACCGCATTTATTTGAAATTGGAACCATCAATTGGTATCATTTTTGATGAATTTAATGCATCCTTGTTAAATAACGGCATTTAGAAGGATCGTACCAACCCCAAACTTTTGAAAGGTAGTGGACGTTTCTTGAAAACAACCATAGCTTGGTTTAAACCGTGTGTAATAGGCTTGCATTAAAATAAGATCCAATGTTTCTCTTCAGTAAGCGGATTCTGAACATCGAGAGGCTGGAGGCTCAGTTGAAGGCTTGCCATTGCTCCTTTACTTTCACTAAAATCAAGGTAAGCGGTTTGGAGCATTTGGAAACGGTCAAAGTGTGTTTGTAGTCTGACTGTAATTCTGTCTCTACAGCCGTCGCTGCTTGCTTTGTCGCTTCTGGCTCTGGAGATCGAAGATGAGCACGAGTGTGAGCCGGTTCCTGCTCTCAGAGAGGCTCTGGATGCTCTGCGGGAGAGTTTGACTGTAAGTTTCCTGCAAGATTACTACTAGAAAGATCTATTTGTTTGGGAAATGGGGTGGAGACGTACAGCAGACGGACTGCGTTGCGTAACGAGTTGAATCTAATGAGAGAAACCGATACGCAAGTGCATCAAATAATATGAAATTGGTAAAGTTGCGACAGATTGTTTCTTCTATATTGTGACGTGCATCTAAGATTAATGGATTATCAAACAGAAGAAATGTAGGGTGGGACTTGGTTCTGTGTATTGATTGTTGATGTGGGAGTCGCACTCAGAAATGGAGTCGGAGGCGGGTTTAAGGGAACTAAATAATTGGAGAAATCCTACATTAATGTGACCCTGGACCACAAAACCAGTCATAAGGGTCAATTTTTCGAAATTGAGATTTATACATTATCTGAAAGCTGAATAAATAAGCTTTTACTGCAGTATTTCCTCTCTCAATCAGTAGAAAATATGGTTAACACCCGGTCATGCATGAAAAAAAAAATACTGTCATGTACTGTGAAACCGGTATAATTTGGAAAAATATTGTGATATAAGTTTTTGGTCATACCGCCCAGCACTATTACTAATCAAATTAAGTTTTGATATATTTACGGTAAGAAATTTACAAAATATCTTCATGGAACATGATCTTTACTTAATATCCTAATGATTTTTGGCATAATTTTTTTTTTATCATTTTGACCCATACAATGTATTGTTGGCCATTGCTACAAATATACCTCAGCGACTTAACACTGCTTTTGTGCTCCAGGGTCACATATTAGGAACCTATAATTTCCGTGATGCGGAAATAAAACTGGAGTTTACTGTATAACACAATGTCAGGGAATTTGTCAAATTTTGAAAAAGTAAATCAGAAGTAGGTTGGTACACTTAAATCAGATCGCGATATGGACTAGTGTCTGTGAATATTAAATCACAAAAAGACTATTGAAATATGAATCCTGCATGTTCTGGATGTCTTCATGTTTCAGACAGAAATACGTTTCTGTTGCACAATAGAATGTGTGTCTCAATGATAATAATAATTATTAACTTTATTTTTAAGGAATAATCACAATGTTTCTTCCATGTTTTAGTTTTAACCATAAACCTCTGTTGTGCATCACTTTTTGTTTTTTGCCAAAATAAATTAAATTTCATTTGAGTGTAAATTAAATTCGTTTTATGCCTTTATTTGATCACCAGAAAAAAGTGTTTTGTTAAACTTTTTTTTTAATATTAAATTGTGAAAGTGTCATGGTTTCAATTAATTAGACGTGCTTTTTGATTACTAAAATTTAATTTAACCATTAAAATGTAGTCCAGAAAAATTTAAATTACCAAACGGAATCCTTAAAAAAACAAACAAAAAAAAAACGGAATTTTGGGGGGAAAAAATAAAACCGATTTCATCAGCAGAGAGCAATCTGTCGTTCCGATCCAGTTATGACATTTTGATCAAATATTACAAATGATCCACTGAATAAGATCAATAACATGCATTTACAAAATAGGGTGAATGTTCACTTAATGCCGACTTTAAAAACTACTTTTTTAAAAAATTTTTTTTATGGTGTCTTGTGGTTGATTCTGTGCTTCAGGTTAAAGCTGGAGACCTGGTTTGCGTGAGGGAGCTGGTGGCTAAATGCCTGGCTGAATACGCCTCCACCAAGTGCCTGAAGCCAAACGGCCAGAGACTGCGATGGATGATTTCGGGTCGAACCGCCAGACAGCTGAAGCACAGCTACTACAAGATCGCCCATCTACCCACGATCCCTGAATACGCTTGTTAAGCGTCCGACACTAATTTCTTTACATATCTGCTAAATTTGCTTTCCCTTTTCTCAGTCTTTGTTCTCTTTTGCCATGATTGTATTTATTTCACATCCGCACTGACTCGGTCTTGATTGCTAGTCAAGGGTGAGTTTGAGCAAGTAAGGCTTGCATGTGTACAGTATGTTCATCTGAATCGGCGCGAGACGCGCCGGTTGTTTAAAGCAATGAAGTATAGAACCGCCTAGGTCCTCAGTCCACCGTGTGGAAGAGGAGGGAGAAGGGTTTTGAGATTCAAGACCACAACAGAACCAAGAGATCAGGCCCAAAACCCTTCACTCCCACCCTAGGCTGTCAGCTGTCGTAATGCACACTCCTACCCAAGGCGATGAAACGAGATGTTTTTGTTTTTATTTTATTTTATTATGCCGTTCTGCTTAAGAGATCTGGATGGCTATGGAAACGCAGGCTTTAATATGCCTAACTACTTACTAAGTGACCAGCCCTGACGCTCATTTTACATTTGGTTATTACTACAGTCTTATGTAACCGTGACCATTTGTTTCATACTTAACTCTAACACAAACAACGAGTGGTACAAATAAAGCGGATTGAATTTAATTTGAGACTCTCTCTGTTTTGGTTGCGATATAGAAGTTGAGAGCAGCGTGCTTCAAAATGATGTAGTTGAACCTTTCAATAAAAACATATTGAGATGTAAAACACTCGTGCTCGTTTGTAATGTTTGAGGCATTTAATCCAAATCCTTGAATTGTATGATTATTTGAAATTCGGAGGATAAGCTGAGCAAAACCACTGTGGTGGCGATTACAAAAAAACGTGGTATTTGTAAATTAAAACCACCTTAAAGACTCGACGGACACAAAGGCTGCTTGTGATATATATTATGGCTTTATAGCAGCAGCCAGACTCGCTGTGATGTGCTTCCTATGTGTGTCTCCAGAGGAAGGAACACAGATTATATTCTCCAGGAACAAATAAAAAAAACTGGTGCCATTTAGTAAGACTACATCAAGTACAGGAATGAAAGTAGTCCTCTTATTTTTGCAAGCTGGAGAAATCTGGTCCGCCGCCGTGAAAGTTCCCAGAGATCTCTGCTCCGCTGAAGTCAAATCCAGGGTTCTGTTGGAAACAGGA